ATTCGACATGTCAATAAAAGGCATCCCGAAACGTTTAACACTAAATGTGCCATTCTTGTTTTGACTGGGAAGAAACGATGATTTAAGGAACTGATCACAATCACACGTCCATAATCATTATGTCCAGAATCTTTGAAGACGAAACATTCCTTGCCAATACTAAACCGATATTAAATATACTGACAATGAATTAGGTTAGAGAAAAAGTATGCAAATTATACGTATAATTAATACAAAAGATTATACGTGTATACAAATTATAATATGCTGAGAATGACAAACGTATTCACACCCATAGACTACTAATCGAATTGTTTTTATATATGCAGTTATTGTGTTTTATTTTATTCGACATCGAAAGTTATTTTTTTCTCTCTCTCAATCAATGATCTTATTTCATTTTGTCCCATTGATCTTTTCCTACGTTAAATGATATAAGTTCATTAATTGATTGTAGAAAGACATGCGATTTTTTATGTTATTATGAAATTATAATTGCATAATGTGAAATATATTCCAGCAGATATGAGGCGCTACATCATTAACCATTTTACTTTTTTTTATGAAAATTATTTGATTATATGATATATTTTGATGATACCTGATGCAAATTGATTGTATAAAAGCAGATGAATCAAATGGAAGAATCTCTTTTATCCCCGAAAAAGAAATACCGATTTTTTAGAAAATGAAAGCGTATACGTTAAACTGTATTTTATTTATTTTGTTACTTTGTAAATTGATGAATAAAAAGTATTAAGTCACTTGATGAGTGAGAAAGGGTTATGTCTGATGTTTTTGTAAATTCTTATTATTGAGATAAAACTTGCTATAACTCATTAAAAAAGTGCTAGTTGTGATAAAAAAATCCATTTTATATATTTATAATTTTGTGTATGTCAATGATAAATTTTTTCTTATTAAGTTCGCTCCTTAATGAGAACCTATTTACAAACAGGGTCGAATTTATTTTTGAATTATTGAAATTACTACATGTTTATAAATTATAATTTAATTAATATTTATCCCTGAATCATATTTATTGTACTGTAAGTGCTATATTACATGTTAAGTACCGAATCTCACGTATGTAAGTTTTTTTTCCACGAAATCCTATGATTTTCTAAAAAAAATCTTAGGATTATACTTTTAAACAAATTACAGAATTTTTTGAAAAATTGTTTTCGAAATTGATGCCGGTATTTATATATGTAGTTAGTTTAAGGTTTGCTCTCGAGCGTTCAATTTACTCCTCGATTAAATTAAGATTGGGTCCCGTCGGCTTCCGTTTAACGAGATCCCAGGACCTTATCCAGGGTGAATATCGGTCGCACGTTCGATTTCAGCTTCAGGAGCTTCACGGAGCTTCACGCAGGATCGTAGAACTGATCTAAAGCTATTTCTTTCCCTTTTGCAGGTACGGCGAACAAACATCTGATCCGCCTGCTATCTATGGAGGAATCGACTGATCTGCCGGTGCAGGCTTGGAAGGTGCAAGAGCAGCCGGTGATACCGTTCGCCGAGCTGAAGATACCCAAGGCCTGCAACTATGTCGGCAAGAAACAGCCCGGCCAATTTACCTGTGCCAGATGTGGCCGTTCGTACATGAGGAAGGACTCGCTGCAACGTCACACGCACTGGGAGTGCGGCAAAGAACCGCAATTCAGATGCCCATTTTGCCCGCAGCGCTGCAAGCGCAAAGCACACTGGCTGCGCCACATACGTCGTCAGCACAGGGAGAACATGGATTCCCTGGAGAAACACTTGCATTCGTACACGCCGAAAGTGGAGCTGGACTGAGTTCTTAGCCAGCGACTGACGCCGGGGGATAAAAGCGGTTTTTGATTACGTAAAATCATAGAGAATACGAAAGCGATGTCGATGGCGTAGACGAGTCGCGCACGGCGAGAAAAGATCTGCGCATGCACTTCAATTGCATGCGTCATATTTTTTAAGGATTTTTTTATATGGCTATATGAGGTATATTACCGGAAATATTCTTGAAATTGACAAGAAATTAACATTGACATTTATTACACTTTACAATAGATATTTGACTTCTGAATTAGAAAATTCCGTGAAGTGGAAAGATAAATCTCAATATCTTATCAATTTTATAATATATTCGTAAATTATGTACTGGCAATTTTTGAACCCTGGTAACGAAGTATTGTAATGAGCATCCTCCTAAAGTTTCTTTCAAGTATTATTAAAACAGATCGTTTTTTACTATAATGTTTATATCTACTTTATATTGAATTTTTTGGTATTTTAACATATCAAGAACAAATTTATTGTCATACTATATTTATGAGATATTCAGATATTTCAAAGAGGGACAATGCATTCTTAATAAGAGATGTATCTTCTCTTGAAATATATGTATATATCATATACACATAGTAATATACAGAGTGTTTAGCGCGATTCGCACGATTTTTGAAAAGATTCTGACAGTTTCTAAAAAAGTTTATACAATGAAAATTAATCTGTTTTACGCAAGCTATCATATGTAATAAAAAAATATAAAAATGTTTTTTTTAATATATTACTATTATAAAATATTAAATATTAATATTAAAATATTAATATCAAAATATTAATATAAAAATATTAATGTTACATTTAATTTTTTAAATGGAATTACCATATTTTTTATATATAAATCGATTCTTCACAATATCCCGTATAAAAAAGTACAAAGTAAATAATTTACGAGATATTTTGTACTTTAATTTGATATAATTTCACATAAACTTTGAAATATTTAGTAAACTATTTACTTTATAACTTTTTATGCAGAATGTTGTGAGAAATCGATTTATATATAAAAAATGAAATGATTTCATTTAAAAAATTTAATTCAAGGTGACATTGATATTTAAAAATTAAAAAATTTTTTTATTGCATATAATAACTTATATAAAACGGAATTTTCGCTCTATAAATTTTTTTAAACTGTCGAAAACGTTTAAAAAATCATGCGTTACGAGCACTTTGTATATACAGTGATATATACGTATAGTATATCACACATATATGTGTCTCTTTTTCTTGATATTTTTTTCGTTAGTTATACATAAACTCGTTGGTGTGAAGACTTATTATAATTATCATGATTAACTATAATACTCGTTAAAAATTAAGTTTCAGACGAGCTTTATGTATGTTTAGAAAGTAAGTTTTGCTAGGTACATATAAAGATATTTTCAACTTTGCATTCGAAGATATATGACTGATTCCGATCCGTTGCGATTTTATTTATTACATGGCAACACGATTTGCTTTAATTACGTTCAATTACGTAAAGAGTGTTTGTGTTTTGTTTTTTAGTTTGTAAAATTAATTTTATCGATTTATTAATCAGGAGTGATTCTTGTATCTTAAGCCTTTACGTAAACAAGTGCCTTACCGACGCGTAAAGTAATTAGTTATCAAAGTAATAAGTGCCAGTTTTAAAACGAAGATTTGCCTTGCACCGATGAGAAGAAAATGTATCTATATTTTATTCTCTGAGAAAGAAAGAACAGAAAGAAAAAAGGTAATAAAGAAGGATGAAGTTTGCTGAGGGACTAGTTTTAAATCGTTAGTTTATAAGTGTGTGTAATGTAACTAATATTTTTTTACATTTTTTTACAAAGTACGAATTAGAATAAACTCATTAAGACTGATGATATGAATGCACAATGAGTGCGTGAATCGTGCCGCTGTTAGCAATTTAATCATCGTCTGACCATAGCGCGATCATGTAACTTCAGATTAAACTGATAACGTGTTACAATTAAGACCCATCATATGCTCGCTGCGTTTGAGAAAAATAAATCTATATATGAAAAACATTATAAGTCGAGCTATCCCATCCCTCATCAGCTACTCAAAGCTCATTCTATGATTAATTTGCGTGATTGTTAGAAAAATTGCAGTGGTCACAATCGATTATTATTAGTGATTAATAGTGATTGTAGCTGTCTTGTAAAATCGACAGATGCGTTCCAAAAGATTTATCGTTTATTCATTTTTTTTACCCTTGCAGTTTTCGATTTTTGCTACAGAATATATGAAATTTTATAATATTCATTTCTAGGTGAATTGGCGACAAAAGACTCTGTATATACTATATTATAGATTACATTGAAAAAAATAGACAATAATTCCCGCAAATATTTTCCTGTAAATTTTCAATTGCAATATTTCAAATACGATCGTCAAGTTTGATGTTCATCAGCGGCCGAATCGAGAGCTGCAATTAGCATATATAAATTGTAATTTGCATTCGCAAGAATAATGAAATGAATTAAGGGACCAGAGAGCAGGTTGAATAAATCCTAATAGCTGGCAAGTTTAGAAACATTTTTCCTCTGTAAATAATCGAACTTTATCGCAAATTCTTAAGCTGATTTAAGCATCGTTGCGAGAGCTATTTGAGCAATTTGAGTATCCTTCGCATCTCTTATCTCTTTTTCTCCTGCCTTCTCCACCTGTGCGATATCAGTGGAGCAGCATGCGCACTAACCCTTTCTCGAGTATTGTACATAGAAATGCCACTTACGTATCGAACTTTCATCGCTTGCGCATCGAGAGGAACATACACCAATTCTGCTAGCATCCAACAACTCAATATTTCGATAAGAATTCGCTTAACGAAGAATACGTTTGGCTCGTTAGAATCTGTGGATGTTCCTTTCGTAACACGCAGTTACCGCTCCTTCCTCGTATGCGAAGTTCATAATTAGCTGCTTGGGGCTCGAAAGTAGGGACACGAAGGACACGCCTTCCTTTTCTTCTCTATCTTTGACGAATGACCAATCATCGATGCACCTGCGATCGAGCGTGGCTCCTCTTCGAAACAGCTTTCTTTCCAGGATAACAGCCGAACGATACTTCTCAACCTCGATCTACTCTCCTCCGAATTATTTCTTAAAGATCCACGAACGGAGCTCTGCTTGAGAGTACGAGGAAAAGATTGAGAGAGAGAGAGAAAGAGAAAGAAAGAGACAAAGATGGAGGAAGGAGAGACGGACGTCGAAGAGGCAGAGTTCAGCGAGAGCCATCGATCACTCCCCAAAGTCCTCGACGCTCCCTTAGCCGCTAAGCTCTAATTCTTAAGCCAAAAGCGGGAAACGACGGTCGGGCACTGTCGGTCGCGTTTCCCACTCGAGCGCTTGAACATGCAAATAAAGAGATTCCGCCTCGCAACCGATCGTTCGTTTCGCGCGGGACACATACTAATAAAGCCGGGGATCTTGTGTTCCAGCCGAGGACCTAAGCATCACCGGTCTCAAATGGGCGGCGGCCTGGCAGCGATGGAGCGTGCCCTCGATCATGTGGCGATCGGGCGCGAGCCTCGGCAAGGGTCTCGGTTCCGGTTCCTCCAATCCAGAGGGTTTCAATTGTCCGGCCTGCGGCAGGGTTTACAAGCTGAAGAGCAGCCTGAGGAACCATCAGAAGTGGGAATGCGGCAAGGAGCCCCAGTTCCAGTGTCCCCACTGCGTCTACAGGGCGAAGCAGAAGATGCACATCGCGCGGCATATGGAGCGAATGCACAAGGAGAAGATCTACAAACAGGAGCTTGTATAAGGGACGCGAGAGAACATTTTCGGCCGCGGTCGCGCGCGAACAAGATTACAATTCGTCGGGAGGAAGAGTGAAGAGAAGAACGAAGAGAAGATTGTGGGAAGAAATAAGGAAGATGCACATTTTCTTCGCGCACGACCTCGAAGATGGCGAAACGGGATGAGGGAGAAAGTATGCTGAATGTACAGTGAGGACGATAATGATTACGATGACTATCGAAGCTGAGAACCTTCTGCTTTTCGAGAGAGAGAGGGAGCCGCCCAACCCCTCGTCTCGATCTTGGATGCATATTTTTTTTATCCTTTTTTTAAGGTTTATTATTATGAATCAATTTTGATTGATTATAATTAATTAATTATTATTTTTATGTAACGAGATATATATGCCGCGTGTAAACAAGAGAACGCGTCGATTTCCCACCCGGGACGCATTTTATGGCCCAGAGACTTTATTATCCGACGTTGAAGCCAGACCATTTGATCTGCGCCCGAGGTCGCTGATGGATTCCATGTATTTGTTTTTTTTTTTTTTTTATTTTTTTTAAGATCGTAATATTCGTGATACGTGGGATCGAGATGAGAACGGATGTCCGTTCGATTGTTAGACAGAATTTTTCTCTCGTAGGGCCCGCCCCGGGTTGGACTGAGACCGTCCGGTAAACCGGAGCTCTTCCATAGCAACCATTCTGGTCACACTGGTTCCATATTTTTAAACGGGCGCAGCCGTGCGCGTGTGGCTCACTGGGGACATAAAAAAAAAAGGGAAAGAAAGGGGAAGGGTGGACAAGAGAGGGTGGAGAGAGAGTTCGAGTATTTCGAGAAGATCTCGAAAACGCGGCCCCGTCAACAAAAATGTCTGTCGATCTGATACACATATATGCGCGACAGAACGGTATCGTACGCGTCAGTTGTTCAACGACGCTAAAAAAATAGATGGATCCTAGGAGACTGGTCTCCAAAGACGAGCCCGAACTTCACCCCTTTCAGACCTGACTGGCGATCGCGCTAGAATTTTGTAGGCTTTTTCTATTTATTTGGACGCAATTTCTGGGCGACAATTTCGGAACAAGAGCGAAATAAATCTGTAATATTCGCGGTTTTATATATAAAAATTACTTTTACAAATTGTAGAGTTTTGTTAATTAATCTAGAAGTTATAAATTTAATTCTACTCATTTGCTGTTAATAAATTATTTCGCTAAGAAATTCATTAGAGATATGTTTTAATATATTTAGAAAAAATATATTGATAAATATGTAATCTCTTATATTTAAAAATTTCTAGTTATTTATGAAACTTGCGGGCAGGTGTTTATAAAATTTTATTAAGTTTGTTAGAATATTTAGAGAGTAAAACGTGTTTTTATTATTCGAAAATATTGGCACGGCAAAATTTATTACGAAATTTATTATGAAATTAAACTTTTTAATATATAATATATTTGGTAGAATGTATATAGACGTATACAATATTTATTGGAGACATACATTTCGTAAGTTATTTCAGAAATTTTTCACGAAATTATTATTAATAATTTATTTATTTAATATATCGAAATTGGAGAATATTTTCACGACCAAATTACGTATTATTAAAATGATAAGAAATGTGGCTTTATTTAGTATAAAATTAAGTTATTTTACAATTTATTCGTACTATTAACTTAATCACTTGTACTATTACATAATTTTAGATCTAGAAATTATTCTGAAAATTGCACGCTTACAAAAAAAAAAATGAAAAGCGCTAAAAAAAAAGCCAGGTACGGTTTGAAAGCGGTGAAGAAATTTCTCACAGTCTTGTCAGGCAAGACAGCCATTTACACTACTTTATTCCTCGCAGTAATGCAAGCAATCACATAAGCAATCGCAGTATTAGACACAGATTCACGCGTGTATCAATCGCATGGATCGTCCCTCGCATTTCATTATGCTTCCTATACATTTACTTACTCGAACACATACTAGAAAAAGAGAGGCAGAATAAAGAGACATAGAGAGAAATAGAGAATCATCCTATGCGCGTAATTTACACGCGTATCTACACATAACTCGCGCGTGAATGAGAGAGAATATATGCATACACACATCCGCGTACACACAAATATTTATATATATTATATATACAAATGTATATGCATATATCATATGCATATACACATGTACACTACCGCGAGGTATTCCTATAGCATTGTGATCGTCAGACTGCCAGATACACAAACGTAGATTCCTATACGATGCATTTAAGTATATATATTTATATTATATAAAGCGTATAATTAACTCCCCTTTTAATTAAGCGTCCTTGTTAAGGCCCCTCGCGTATTCTTTCACACACACACACGAGTCTTTATTTTCTCCTCTTGCATTTCCATGTGCGCAATCAGATCGATGGGCATGACGAATGGCCGTGTACCGAGTACGATGTATCGCATTTTTCAGATCAATTTCAATGTGAGAAAACATTAAGGTGTGCGAACAATTATTTCACTGAATTTTCTTTTGCTAAAACTATCATTTTTATATTATCAAATATTTATTTTATAATGTATTGTAATATATATATTATAAAATATTTGTTTCATAATGCAAATATAAATTTCTTCTTTCATTTTCTTCTTGATTTCAAAAGATAATTTATCAAATTTTCAATCATTGGCAATGTTTTTAAAAGAATCATTAATTAAGAGGAGATCAAAATTTGTTCGAGAAGAATTTCCAATTAGTTAATCAATGTTTGATTTGTCTTGGAAAAATTCGAATTCTTCAATCAATTTAATTCAATTGAGATTGACTTGATTAATTTTTATAATTAAATTTTACAAATACTTGTATTGGTAATATATTCGATCTATGTGACTAAATCAACTTTGGTTCTAATTTGATCTCGTGATATCTCCTTATGTATTCGACTCTAGATCGAAACATTAAGGTGTGCGAACAATTATTTCACTAAACTTTCTTTTGCTAAAACTATCATTTTTATATTATCAAATATTTATTTTATAATGTATTGTAATATATATATTACAAAATATATTATAAAATATTTGTTTCGTAATACAAATATAAATTTCTTTTTTTATTTTCTCCTTGATTTCAAAAGATAATTTATCAAATTTTCAATCATTGGCAATGTTTTTAAAAGAATCATTAATTAAGAGGAGATCAAAATTTGTTCGAGAAAAATTTCCAGCCAGTTAATCAAGGTTTGATTTGTCTTGGAAAAATTCGAATTCTTCAATCGATTTAATTCAATTGAGATTGACTTGATTAATTTTTATAATTAAATTTTACAAATACTTGCATTGGTAATATATTCGATCTATGTGACTAAATCAACTTTGGTTCTAATTTGATCTCTCCTTATGTATTCGACTCTAGATCGTGATCATTTAATTATGCCTTTTATATGGTTATCACGAACTTGAAAAATGTTGTAAATTGTTTGCCCACTAAAAATCTACAGTCTGGTCGGTATTTCTAAATACACGTACTCGGACGCTACCTGGCACCAGGTCCCATATTCCTACGCCACGCCAAATACGCGCGTCACGGCCGCCCGACTTTCCATACTGTAGACAATATTTATGAGACAAGCTAAACTATACTACTACTACTACTACTACTATTACTATTATTACTGCTACTATTATTACTACTATTCGTAACTCATGTATACAGTTAAGTATGCGCGACGATTAACGCGCGCGACGAACGAAGCGGTAGGTTTAGTTATTTTTTGTCTTTTATTGGAGGCGCTCGCGATCGATCCTCGACGGCGAAGTCTCGATTCCAGCCAAACGGCGGAACTTTACCTCCTCGAGAGAGAAGTACCGTCCCTTGAAATTTCCCGGATTTCACACGAAGCTGCAAGAGCAATCCCCGCATAATAACTGTAACTCGTGTCGGAAGAACGTCAATTGAAAATACTGATACTAGAAAAATAAGAATTGTAATATGGAACAACTCGTTCTCTCTCATGCATTTTTAAAGTAACATTTTGATCTAGTGTATAGACGAATTAATTGTACTTTTATAAGTATTTTTCATTTTTGATCGTATATAGTTGAGAACACAATTTCTTATTTTAATGAATCTCTTGGTTTTTGAAACGTATCAATTATTTGAAGTTTTAAACATTCTTGTATCCTTTTTATTGAATTTTTTTTGAGAAAATTGATAAAAATGTTATGTAGTTTTCAAATATATTAGAAAAGAGAATACAATTGTTCTATATTACATAATATTTTACAGAAAATTTAACTTTTGCATAATATATGGATGTGAGTTACAGGTCTTGCAGCCTTTATTTCAAACGGAGGAATCCTTATAGACAATAGTATACATCCAGGAAGCATATTGTGTGTGCTTCGATTTGTCAAAAAAAAGTTCATTAATTTGATTTTGATAAATTGTCGGATATTCTAAAATTTTAAATTTGTTGAAATTTTATAAGGGATATTTTCAGTAAATTATTTTCGACAGAAATGTTTAGAGGCACCAAGCTGTGTATCGCAAAGCTGATTGTCTAATTCTCAAATCCGTATTGATTGATTAATTAATTAAAAGACATCTCTAATTATGTGAATTGTTACAATTGAATATATATTTGATATATTCTATCATTGAAAAATTATATTTTATATTAAATTGTTACATGTTTCTATTAATTTAACATTTAAACATTTTTCAAAACTATTATTTCTTTACGTTAACTTGAGAATTAATATAGCTTGAGAAATTTTTTCGATATAAATACTACAAAGAGTCATTAATTTATTGATAACGAGAAACTTTGCATTTGCAGATATTACATCAATTATCTGTCAATTTTTGAGATAAAAAATAGGCAACAAATTTTCTGGCAGAAATCTTCGATTTTTTTTATCGATACATTTATCAGAAAAAAAATCAGTCAAAATTATTTGTTGTGACGGCGCAGCGCGAAATTAAAAGAACTTTGACTTCCTGGATGGTATCAGCTCCGCAGCTCGGAGTCAGATCGTAGGCCAGAAGGACTCGTCTTCCGTCCAAGTGCAATAACTATTGATAATCTATCCTTTCGGTCCCGCGCTACTGCAACTAACGCGATTCGCATGGTTTTTTGCAAACCAATCTCGCGTCTCGCTTTCAGACTTCGTCCGATCGATCGATAGCGGCCGCACGTTGATACGTATCATAGTAAGCGAACAAAAGATTAAGGCATCAGAGAGAAAACTAGAAGAGAAAGATTGAGGGAAAAGAGTTTATCGCGAGAGAGAGAAAGAGGGAGAAAGAAAGAGAAATATGATAGAGAATGAAACTGAGAGAAGATGACTTGAGAGTCAAAGAAAGATATAGAGACGTAATGCACGAGAACGGGAACAATGTTGACGATAATGTTGATGAAGACAACGAGAGAAGAAATCATCGGTCGATGATGATGATGATGACGATGATGGCGTTACGTAGTTTAAAGAGAGAATGCGGTAGACGATAGAGTTAATCGATAAATACGATTATGGATCGATGATACATAGTTATTGAATGATAATTGATAATATTACTGCCTCACGAGGCCTTGATGAATGGCGGCGGTCGAAAGGGAGCTAATTAGGGAGTAAACGCGGGATTGGTTATATAAAATGGATTATATGAAACAATATACATAGTGCTCGAGATGATTCTCATGTGGGTAACGTCAACGGACCGCCGTCATCGACGGAGATTACTAGATTATTAGGTATGTAAGAGTACTATTAGATAGATCGTAGCTCTTAACGACTCTTTTTTCTATGTTTTTTTTTAAGAGGAAAGAAAGGAAGCGCGCGCCTAAAGCGTTTTTCTTTTCCCGCGAGAATCTGTGGTCGCGCCGATCCGATGAGATTTGTGTGTGTAAAGGACAACTATAGAGGGAGAAGAAATTAAATAAGACCGAAGGCAAGAATGTGAGTGTCAGCAAAAAGGATTGTCATATAGGCAGCAACGAAAGTGATAATTATAGTGATAAAATTGGGGGAAGGTAGTAATGTATTTTCCTGTGTGGTAAAAAGGAATGAACGAAACGATGGGGAAAAAACTTGAAAAGATATAGAAAGTTGAAATGCGACGATTATTTGGAAATTAAAATTATTTTTATTGTTTGCTTTGGTTTAATTGACAAACTTTTCAACATTTAAAATGATTCAATCGGCTTTAGCAAAACACGTAGAATCTCGCGGATCTTGT